GGAGACCTCTGCATGGCAAGCATGAGCTTTGAACCGCACAGCTGAAAATAGTCAGGCAGGGACAGATCAAAATGTCACCTTAAGAGCAGAAGAAGTGTCACACGAGGTCAGACCAACAGTCCAGCTAGCCCAGTATCCCATCTCTGATGGTGGCAGAAGTGGGTGCTATAGCGGGGGAGCACTGAATTGGATCTCTCTAGTATGGCAGCTAGCTACACTGGTACATAAAGACAGCTGTACTGCCCCAAACCTATATTACTTGTGCAACCCTTCTGTCACGTTCCACTCAGCAGAAACAAGGGCCAGGTTCAAATTTTGGGCGTCCCAATAAGTTTTCACTGTAGCTCGAGCTCCCACCCAGAAATCTGGGATCACTGAACTTGGCCATGGTGTCCCACATACACAAGACCCCCTCCTCCCAAGGAATGTAAACATGGAGGACAGACTTATTACAGAAAACAAAAGAAAGGAAAACAAAGCAAAAAACCAAATGTGACTTAAAACACTATCATCTACAAGGCATGGTACTATAGGTTGTACCCACTTGGGAAGACTTCACACATGCCCAGGCAGTCTGGGACTTGGGGTCCACCTTCCAGAACCTGCAAAAGGTGAAACACACCCAGTTGTGGGAGCTGGGGTTAAGGCACCCCGACCCGCCTTTCACCAGGGTGGTAACTGGCCTGGCATTTCCTGGGGGCTCCCACACCCCTGAGAGCCCCACCAGGCCACCCACTGCCAGTAGGGTGCAGTTTTAGGTCATGCCCAGTGTCGTGGAAAAAACATGCTGTAGAATTTGGAATCAGGTCAGGTAGAAACTTTATTTTGATAGCTATTGGAGAGAGACCGTTAAAGGAAAGATTCCCTCTGGCTCTCTGCCTTACAACCAGGGCAATTAACCTTTTGATAGATTCAAGACAAAGGGTTGCCTAAACTAGCTTTTCCTGCCTTGGGGCTATCTGTCTTATGTCCTTCAAGACAACTTTAATGGTCATCTTCCTCTTATCTAAGGAATTTCTCTCTCCCCCCCTCTGAGGCCTCAGCCATTCTTTGCTTCCACACCAGAAACAGGAGCCTCCTGACTATTCCCTACAGCTCCTCCCTTACCTCCAGTTAATACCAGCAGCTTTATAGCCAGACAATGTTATTACCTAGCCTTCCAGCAGCAAAATGCCCTGTTTATATGGGCAACCCTGAATCCAAAATGGCCACCCTCATCAGGCACCTGCCAGCTGCTGTCTTCTGGCTCTTAAAGTGGCAGGCACAAACACTGCCCTGCCACAAGCACCAATCTCTACTTCCATGTGCTTAGCTTTTTAGGGTTAACTGCAGCTTTCATCAGCACATTGTGCCCCAACATCCCTAGTCCCAATCCCACTGTGCTGGGGCAGGAGACTACAAGAGAACAAAAAGAAAAGCCAGCCAAGCAGCAACAGAGCCTGAACTGCAACTAGCGCCAAGCATGCTGTTTGGTTGAGACAAAGACCTATAAAAGCAACAACATGTGCCAGACCCAAAATGAGCCAGGTCCCAAGTCAGGCCCAAATGTGCAGCAAACACTCAGCATATGCTCAGCAATAGAGCTATGCTGAGACACAACAGCTGTAAAACAGGAAAAGGGGGACTCAGACTTGTCCTGCACCAGCACCTGCACATACAACAAAAGAGTGCCAGGCCTATTTGGATGCACTTAGTCTCAGCTACACTGCTATGCCAAGACCTAACAGCTATGAAACAACAAAAGGGGGCCAGGCCTATGCAGGCCAATAACTGCAGAACTCCCTTCCTGGTCAGTTTGCTCTAGGGATTAATACCCTCATGGCATAATCGCATTCAAGGCCCCATGACGTTATCCCTGATTCAAATCTGCCAAGCCTTTAACTCTGGCCAAAAATGCCAGCAAGATGTGCAGCTGGGTTTCAGTCACACATCTAGGCTAGAACCAAAAGAAGTTGCAACAAAACATGCCAGGCTCTCAGCCCTGGGCCAGAGCATGCCAGCAAAACTGCTGGGCTCCAGGCCTGGCTAGTCTGCTCCAGGGACTGATACCCTCATGGTATCATCCCTCTCAAAACCCCGAAAAACAAAAGGGGAAAGAAGAGGGAGAGAAGAAGGGTCTGAAGACCTGAGATGGACTTTGTCTCCCTGTATCTGAGGCTTTCCCTTCACATAGCTTCAGTTTGCTTCTCCACTGAAGTGGCAAGGGAGACTCCCCATGGGGAGCAGTTTCTCCAGCTCCCAATTTGGTTTTTCAGGTCCCAGCAGCCCCAGGAGAAACAGATCGCTGAGACCTAGTGCAGAAATTTCGATATACCTGTTGTGACATCACACAAGCTTTTCCAATCAGGACTTGCCCTGGTTACAGTTTTTCCTTTTAACCAATTTATTAAAGAAAAAAAGAAGGAAAAAAAAAAAAAAGCACCGCCCAGTTAGCCAATTAGGCTAGGGGTCTGATCCCCTGGCCTACCTGACTAGAAGCCAGGCCCTCTTGTTTGCAGTAAACAAGGGGTTTCTAAAAGAAAAGTCCTGAACAAAAGGGCCTTTTCTGCCTCAGGTGTCTGCCTAGTGCAGCACGTGTCTATCAGGATCCTCAAGGACCCCCCAGAGGGGGAATGGACAGCGACAGCAAAGAGGGAAAAGAGGCAACCAGACCTGGAGACAGCAACGAGGATAGCAGCACTGACTGCAGCAGCAGGTCGTCCAGCAACAGTGACAGATACAGTGAATGAACTGAGACTTTAAACCCCATAATTGGGGCTAGGGCTAAGGGACAGAGTGATTGAGTCAAGAAAGGCCCTGTGGACAGGTACATGGGAGTGCAGTTCTGCACTGTACAGTGCACAATAGATGCACTGTAACAGGTGCATGGGCTGTGTTTTGTGGGTTAAGGTTTGTGAAGAAAAGTTACTAGCACATGTATGTGTACAACTTCAATACTGTATATAGATAGATGGATGGATTGATAGATAGATTGATATCTATCTATCTATCTATCTATACAGGCAGTCCTTGACTTACAACATTTCAAATTACAATGTTTCACACCTAAAACATTTGTAAATTGACACCCTGTTTCAACTTCAAAAAGTCCAACCAAGTGCCCTTCAAAAAGTCCAGTAAAGTCATCTGAAAGAAGTCCTTCCAAATCAATATGACTGCTATTCACAGTATAAATACATTAATGTAGCTATATTACTCATCCATAATTGAATGAGTACAAATTTGGGTTATTTTTGGTGAAAATAGGGTATCAGGCCTTGGTTCAGGAACCAATCCCCCATTTATAACATTGTTTCCTATGGGGAAATTGGTTCCAAGTTACATTTCAACTTAAGACATGTCTTTCAGGAACCGATTGCGTTGAAAGTCCGAGAACTGCCTGTATAGACATATTTTTACAAGAAAAAGTGTCTCTCAGCTTCCTTTAGCAGGGGAGAGGAGACAAGACACACATAAAGAAAACATGAGTACATGTAGTACAGCAGGAAAAAAAGAGCTAATCATATTTAACTAAAACCATATACAAGAACACGCTTTGCCATACAAAGTGGCTTGTACATTTGGTGTGGGTTACACCTGCATTGAGCAGGCTGTGCCATCCCAGGCTGATTTGGGTTTGGGGGGCCTGGGTGGACAGAGGGGCTGCTCCTGCTTCTGGTTTCCTGGGCTGCAGCCTTCTTGCCAGATGGAGGTAAATAGAGTCCTTGAATACTTCCGCTCGCTCTGCATCATCCGTTGCCGGATGGCACTCCTCATTCACTATCGAACCTACACATGACTGTCAATACTAATAGCCAGGTATTCAGTCCTCCAGCTTAGCTGTGGCAAGTGAGGTGGGGGAGAGGGCAGAAGGTAAAGCTTTCAGAGGGGAAAGCGGGTACTGGCTACTAGCACTTGCTCACAATGCCTGTCTTAACTAGTCCACCATGGAGAACACAAAACACCAGCAGACTCTCCCTATGCTTGAAGAAGAGGGGTTGTGCCTGGAAGTTTGCAAAGAGCAATTTTTCCAACTATTTAGGTGGTCTGATAAAAGACACCACATTTACCCAAAGAACTGTGTCTGCCTATATTAATTAGTATATTCACTCCAGGCATGCAGCAAATGCTTGGAATTTGCCAGAAGGTTTGAATGTTGAACCCTTCACCATATTCCTAAAGAGAGCATGTGCAGGGGCTGGGGGGTTGGTGGAAATGTGCAATGACTGACAGTGGGAGTTAGCGGCTGGCCAGAGATAACTCAGTGCCTGATTGGATGATGAGTGGGAGAATGTGGCAAAGAGTGACTGACTGGTTAATGGACAGTGAAGAATGGACACTGGTTGGCTGATAGAAATGGGTGATTCTGCTGTATAAAAGGCTGTTGACCAAAACCCTTGGCACGGTGCAAAACGTACATCCCTGCGGCCTCTTGGTGCTCAGAAAGAAATAGGTAGGATTTTTTAAACCCAAGTGTTATATTTCTGGGGATTTCGAAGTGTGACCCTTGACCCCGGATTGTAGTCTTCTGGAATCCAACCTGCTCCATGGTTACAGCTCCATTGCCTGATTGCACAAAGAAGTAGCGGGTCTGCATCTCCTCTGCCATCAGAACACAATTTATGCCATCTCATTTGCATGCAGATGCCTTTATTTCAGAGTCTGGCCAGCGCTGCTGAGACTTTGATGAAAGTGCAGGAATCCAGGTGTTGGGGGTTTGGGGAAAAACATCTAGTATCAAGATATTCAGAATAAAATGAGAATTGGTAACAGCGAAATCAAGCAGATCGTTAGTGTTTCTGCTCTGCTCTCCTAGCTGGGTTGCAGTGTGTACAAAGGTTGGCTGTCCCTTTTTTGGGACTGGCCTCATCACACTGTAATTTGTACTTCTCTACAAACTATTTTTTTCTCCTCCTGGATTTTGTATCTCTGCTAAAAGCCACCTTAATAGAGGGCTGGCACAGGGTAGGTCCAGTTGCTGGATTGGCCCAGCCCACAGTGCCAATGCTTTCACTTTCATTTCCTGTCATTTCCTTTGCTGAAATTGTGCAAGAGCAGTTTTAGGAGCATTCCTGTCCAGACAGGATCACGACTGCCCAGGTAAGGACCTAACATCTGTGCAAGAATGAAATGAGAGTGGCCTGTAGGACCGTAAGTCTCAGACCTGGCCGTGTAGGAGTGTGTCTGCTAGGCTGCTGGCTCAGGGATGCTGCTGCTCTAGGGAGCTGTAAGAGCTGCAGAAAGTGGGGTTTGCATTTTGGTACCGAAACCTGTGGGCAAAGCCTCAAGTGCTGCTAAGTTCCTTTCCCTATTGGCTGTAAAATTTGCATCCTGGCCTGTTGGCATTCAGTGCTGGGTAGAGCTGCTCCTTCACAAGCCGCTCTGTGTGCGGAGGGGCTGGATTCCTCTAGGAACCAGGAGTCAGATTTTTAAAGCAGACTGTTATATTTCTGGGGATTTTGGAGTGCAGTTCTTGATCTCAGGCCCTGGTGTATTGAATCCAGCCTGCTCCATTGTTAGGGCTCCATTTCCCAATTGCATTTCCTGCTTGTGGGACGGGATCTTCTCTGCCATCCGAAGATAATTTACTCCATCTCATCTGCATTCAGATGCCTTTAGTTCGGGGTCCAGCCATTATTGTGGAGGTTTCCATGTAAGTGCAGGACTCCAGGTTTTGGGGTTTGGGGAGAAAAAAGTTAGTACCAAGATACTCATAATAAAATGATGCGACTTGGTAACAGTGAAATCAAGCAGATTGTTAGTGTTTCTGCTCTGCTCTCCTAGCTGGGTTGCGGTGTGCGCCGGGGGGCTGTCCCTTTTTTATGGAAGACCAGTAGCCCTGTGAAGAAAGCCCAGCTGTGGGGCATCTGGCCAGAGGAGAATGCAAGGGGAAGAAGGCAGGGAGCTCTAAGGTGGAGTCGAACTACTGCCATGGGGCAAGAGAAAATAGGGCAGGAGTAGGCAATTATTTTTGCCCTTGGGCTGTATATGTAGTTCTGGGGAGCTGCCACTTGCCGGTCAGCATCCCTTTACCCCCGCCCCCCCCCGTTGCCCCTCCCCGTGTTGCCATCAACAGCACACAGCCCTTGGTTCACCCCACCTTTCTAGGCAGCCCAGCTCCTCCTGGCTGCCACTGCCACTGGCCCCAGTCCTGCAGTACTGTCAGGGACCAGTGTACACAGCCCTGACACTTGCACACCCTGGGTGGGGTGGGATTGAGCCCTTTCACTATCCCGCCCCCCCCCCCCATGCAAAGGGGGGGCCTTAATGCTGGCTTGTGTGCCGAGTGCATCTCTGCCTGGTGGCGGGGCACTGCCCAGGTGGCTGTATTCCCTGCTGTCCCCCCATGTGCATAGGGACCAGTGCGGGGAGGCTACTGGGAGTACTGGGGGGGCTTCATGGGGTCTTGTGTGGGTGCCGACTCTTGGGGGTGTGGGGTGGCCATGCAACAATGAGGGGTGCGGGTATTCCCTGGTGACCCTTGTGTACAGGGGATCTGGGGAGAGCCGCCAGGCCCCTTGGGGTCTGTGGGGGCACTGGCCACTTTTGAGGGTGCATGAGGGCTGTGCAGTTATCAGGGGGACAGGGGCTCCCCCCCACTGCTGTGCAGGAGTGGGGGTGAGGTGCTGAAACTCTCTCTTGCCCCCCCCATCACCCATGCAAAGGGTCCGCGGGGGGGGGGGGGCCCTAGCCCTGGGGAAAGGAGGGACTCTTGGAAGTGGGTGGTCTCCTGGCCGGCTCACTGCCGCTCAATTTGGTGTTTCCTGACCCCGGGGGATAAGGGGCCACAGAGTGTGATCTGCACCTCCTCTTCCTCTGCAAAGGCAGATGATGAGTAAATAACAAACAACACAGACAAAAGTGATCATTTTTATTTTTAATATTTTTAATTACACAAAGGAGATGGCTTTGATGCACACTGATACAGGGCTCCAGAGCTACCTGAACCTGGTGGTAGCAATTAGTAATGACCACTTTGAAAAGCCTCAGTTAAATGCATGTGCAATATAATTGATAAACCAGGTAGGCTGAGATGTGCTACCACGTTTCACCTTACATACAGTGAGGTTTAATTAAGATGACTTCTGCCATTTAAAAAATGCTTTAAAGTCACCCATGTGTATTAAGTGATGGCTTTAGACCACTTTAAATGGTGAAAATCCGTAGGTGTATAGGCACCCTTGGTGTCTGGGACAGGACAGAGGAGTTTGCTGTGGCTGGTTGTTTGCTGTAGAGACCTATCTGAATGGGTCACGAGGGAGTGACTTCTGCAGAGGGCAGCAGGAGAAGGGACCCGCTTGTCCAGGAAGCAGGCACTGGAGGGGCCGAGGTTGGTGAGGTCCTGAATGGGAAGGGGGCGACAAGGGTGGGGGCTTTTGCAGCCAGTCCTAGCAGGGGGGGCTGTTGGATTGAAAGGAAATGCCCTTCCCAATCTGTTCATTCAGCTCACCTAGTAACACAATACCAAAAACATGGAAATAAGACATGCTTAAAGACCAAAGCATTCAGAGTGGGCTTTCTAGCCCACCTAGTTTCCTGTGTGAAACTGAAAAGGAGCCAAAAAGCAGAAGTCATCTTTGCAACAGCTCTTCTGTCCACAGACAGACGTGGCAGGCAGGGAGAAACAGGGCAGGCAGGGAAAGGGGCTCAAAGGAGCACTTGGGAAGGGCACGGGCCTTCATTTGTGGCATGTTTGCCAAAAAGGTTGGTCCCTGCTGCTCTCATCAACCCCTCCTATAGCAGGGGTAAGGGGAGCCAGAGAGGAGGGGGGCACTGCTCTCCCATTCCCTGTTTGCTTGTACTTCCTGCCTGCACACTGCAGCACTGTGAGCAGTGTGTGTCATGGAGCCAAGGCATTCTGGGAAGTGTAGTTTTGCAGCGCGACAGTGGAGTTTGCTGCTGCTGCTGGGGAGAGGATTGATTCCATGTTTTTGGAAATCTGCCAACTTTTATCCTCCTGATATGAGCTTTGGTGGCAAAACAGGGGTGAAAGCTCCCCCAGCAGGAGCAAGCTCCAAGGCCACTCTACAGCAGGATGATTCCCGGAACGACTCGCACATCATGATACATGTTGCCCAGACCAGCTGCCCGCTGCTCCCCCGGGTGCTGCCGAGTGGGGGCAGGTGAGAGAGGACAGCTCCAAGCGCAGTCCTCATGTTACACCAATGCACACTGGGGTTCGGTGTTTCTAAATTCAGCATCCAGCCATCGACTCTCGGCACTCAGTCGTCAGCAAAGTTGAAAGTCCTCCTTCACTGTCTGAGCCCTCTTCCATGTTCAAGAAATAAGTCACCTTCCTACTGCCGGGTTGTGGAGTTGCTGCTTTCAGTACAAGTACGGTTAGTTGCTGCATTGGGAACGAACTTTCTGTTTCCCATAACGGTCCCAAGTGGTGACAAGCTGAGAAGTCAGAGTAGCTCAACTCCAGTTGAGGAGTGTGTGTGGCAGGTGAGATCACATCATCCATGTCACCCTGGTCCTGCTGTGTTTTAGGTCAGGAACAGTCTCTGCTACCACCATGGCTTGCACTGGTGCTCGTACCATCGATATGCCTGCCCTCGGGCGTCCTTTCCAGCTGGGGATGCTGTACGACTGCCGCAGCAACACTTTCATTCCAGGTATGTTCCCATGTGCCCAGCCCCCGCTCATGTTTCTATGCTGTCGTCTACTGACATCCTGCCAGCATACTTTCTACGAGTGAAAGCAGCTGCCTTCCTCATCCCTTCCATGTAATGTCAGCCTTGAGACTGGAAAACAGCTGGTTAGAGCTAAACCTGAGGTGTGGAGATGCTTAATGAGTCCTAAGGGAAGGCATTCACCAGACACTTAGTGGGTATTACCTTGATCTGCTTGGATCAACATAATTGCACGAGAGAGAAAGACTATTTTTTTTTACTTGTTTAGGCCTTTATTTAACAAAAGAAGTAGGAAACAAAAGGTGAAACTGCCAAAGTGTGCCTCTGCACCCCATTGCCCCCAAACTGACCACGAAACACTTGTCAGAACAAGAACACGCATCTCATCTCACCAGATATCAGGCCCCTGTCTGTACGATGTCCTTCATGGGGTTACACATTTAGGACTGTCCATCTTCCAGCTTGAGGACTGCCCTATCAGTAGCTTCGTGTGGGAATAACTCGTCTACGTTTTCATATAAGTATAGATTCACAGAGGACTGGGCCTGGAAGGAGATCCAGAGGATGTCTAATCCAACCTGCTGTCTGAGCCAGGATCAGCCCTGTCCAAACCATCCTATACAGTCCATAATCAAAATTCTTTGTAAAACTGCCATCAACCCTGACACAAGACATAACATGCTAACCTGCCACAGGTAAGGCATGGGGACCATGGTGGCTTGCTTCCCTGAAAGGCTGCTAAGACACTCAAGAGAACCCAGGTAGAGTCCCCCCACCTCACCCCATGCCACAGAGGAAAGCAATCTCCCCACCCCCAGCCCATACCAATTTGAGAAGGGAACAAAATTCATTCCTGACCCCAAATACAGTGATCAGTCTTATCCAGAGCAGAGGAGCAAGATCCACTTGTCAGGAACCTCCAGCTGTAAGTCTCAGCAGAAGCACTGGCACAGCCCAGTCCCCATCCCAACCTGGGCTGCAGCCAATACCTAGTGCCTCTGAGGAAGGCTTAAAAACACCCTGACACATGTAGCAGGCAGGTGGGGAGGGGGCACCCAAAACACCCAGAATCTTGGGACATCCCCATAGTAGCACATAGGCATTGCTATGCCTAGGTCATCCCCAACGAGTGACTGCCCAACCTCTCCTGAACACCTCCAGTGATGGAGAGTCCACAACTTCCCTGGGCATCTATTCCCTTCCACTGGTTGCAATAGTGAAGAAGTCTGTCCGAGTCTGACTGCAGCTTTTTTTTTTTGCGTGAAGACTGAGGCAAAGCAGCTGCTGAGTAGTTAGGAGTCACCCCTGGCTTGATAACAGAGGACCCAGAGCTTCCTTGGTCCTTCTTTTGTGGCCAGTAGGCTTACAGACCCTTTTCTTGTTGTTCTTGACCTCCTTCGCCAGGTGCAGCTCCTTCGTCTTTGCCTTCCTGATGTTGTCCCTGCAGGCTCTTGCTATTTCCTGGTACGTGTCCTTGGTGACGTGCCCATTCTCCCCCTGCCTCTATGTTTTCCTTTTGCATTCGAGGCATCCTAGAAGCTCCTTGTGCAGCTACAGGGGTCTCTTGCCGTTCTTCTTGTACTTCCATTGTGTAAGGACAGTTTCTTGTTGGGCTTCCAATACTCTGCCCTTTCGAAGCTCCCACCTTTATCTTTCACTCTGTCCTCTGATGACATATACCTGTTAACATTTTGAGTTGGATGAAACCCACCTTCTTGAAACATAGCATCCTCGCTTTGCTGACCTCATGCTTTCCCCTTCTCCAGATCTGCAGTCCTATCATATTGTAGTGGTCGCTGTCTCCCATATTGCCCATCACCCTCACATCCTCCACTAGTTCTTCCTAATTGTCCATGAAAAGATCCAAGAGGGATGATCGCCTAATTGTATCCTCCACCTTCCTGAACAGAAAGGTGTCTTCCACGCGAGTTAAGAACATGAGCTGCCTTCTTCTCTTGGCTGCATTGTTCTTCCAGAAGATTCCTGGAAAGGTGAAGTCTCCCATCAATACCATCTTATTGCTTTTGGACAGATTTGTCACCTGCTTGAAGACAGCCTCATTCACCTTCCTGATTTGGTGGTCTATACTACAGCCCCACCATTTCATCAGTGTTACATCTTTCACCTTTACCTAAATGTATTCTGCTTGGCTGTCTTCCTCCTGCCCTGGGGAACAAGTATATGTGTTTTTGACACTCACAGCAACACTAGCACCTTTTCTCCCAATCATCTCTTTGCAAAACAGACTATAACCATTGTCAGTGTCACCATTCCAGCCATAAAAACTGCCCCACTAGGACTCTGTGATACCAGTCAGGTCATATTGGTATCGGTGGGTTGCTTCTGTTGCATTAGTATGTATGGGCATCACACCAAGCTCAAAACCTTATTGCTAGGCCCAGTCAATATGTGCCATGACAAGGCAGACCCACCACAAATTCTTGGCATCTCAGTAGGGACGAGATAGACCAGACAGGCAGGACTTGCATATGGATCATAGGGAGAATGAGGTAACAGAATAGCTACAGCTTGTCTTCCAGAGAGTCACATACACAAACAGATGGATATCCTTTCCAGTGGAGCATCACCAGCCCTCAGTGCTGGTGTCCAGGGTCTACTAAGTGTGTTTCAATATAGGACAGACTTAAGAAAATAAGCTGAAACCTTGTCTTCTCCCAGGATCACTGACTATGCGGTTGTGCCCTGTTTCACAGGTATCACTTTATGGGACAGCAAGACCCTGAAGAGAAACACGGAGACAATGCCCAAGCACTCCACTACTAATCATATCACCACATCTGACACCATGGCAGACAAGGCCTCTGCCCTGAGTCTGTCAGGCTCCCTGAAGGCCAGTGTCCTGGCGGGGCTGGTGGAACTAGGGGGGTCTGCAGCATTTTTTAACGATACCAAGAAATCAAAACATCACGCCCGAGTGACTCTCCAGTACTCAATGACAGACAGGTATGAGCACCTGACTATGAGCCAGCTGGGGCCTGAGAGCATCTCTTATCCTGCTGTATTTGGGGATCACACAGCCACCCATGTGGTCACAGCTGTGCTGTACGGGGCCCAGGCTTTCTTTGTGTTTGATCGGGAGGTTTCCTCATCTGAGAACATGTGGGAGATAGAAGGGAAAATGAAATTGTTGGTGGAAGAGATACCAAAGGTCCCAGGAGGGGAAGAGACATCTGGGAGATTTCAAAAGAAACAAGAAAGTAACAAAAATTTGTATTGCACATTTTATGGTGATTTTTGTCTGAAAAAGAACCCACTTAGTTACCAGGATGCCATGCAAGTTTATGCCAAGCTCCCTGACCTGCTCAGAAGTGATGAAAAACAGACTGTACCAGTGAGGGTCTGGCTGTGCCCACTGAGCATGCTGGATCCCAGAGCAGCTCAGCTGGTGCGCGAGATCAGTTCAGTGCTGATTACAGATGCCGAGAGAGCCCTGGAGCACCTGGCTGAGTGCGACGTGCGATGCAGTGACATGGAGAGAGTCAGAGCAGCTACAACCTTTCCTGACATCCAGAGGAAGCTCCAGGAATTTAGGAATTTGTGCAAACAATGCAGACAGACGTTCCAGGAAGAGCTCGCAAGCACCTTGCCTGCCATCCATGGAGGACAGGAGGAGGAAGGGGCCTTGGTAAAGATTTTAACTAGCATGGAGCAGTCACCATTCAGCACCAACCAACTCAGCAAATTCCTGGAGAAGAAACAAGAGGAGATTAATTTTATCCATTCCTACCTTGCTGTGCTGAAGGGAGTGCGTGTCGTTTCCTCCCAGAGTGAACTCCAGGAAGCCGTGCTCAGCCCCAGCCATCGCTTTGTTGTGTCTCTTACTCTCACTTCCTTGCACAGGGAGAAAGCCTATTTTTCAGCATTAAACCTCTGGCTGCGGAGACCATTTATGGAGAAAACTTCTGGTGTGGTATCAGGCAGCTTGCCTGGTAAGAACCCCAAAAGCAAACAGTGGTTTGAGGATAAAGAGATCAGAAGAAAAGCACAGCAAGCGGTGAAGTCCTTCTCTGACTTTGTTTGTGTGAACAAATTGAATAGGGCTGTCCTGTTCCTTGTGGCGTCTGTCCCAGACGAGGACAACCCAGGAGCTTCCATTTACCTGTATGAGGATGGGGAGCTGGTCTGCACCAACTTTGAGCTTCCAGCAAAGCCTCTTCCTCCCCTGATTACTGGAATCAGCCATGACCGTGTGCAGCTCACTTTGAAGCCAGCTCCCTTTGGAGAGACTGCGATCACCGGCTATAGGGTGGAGTACAGGAGAGTGGTGGCGTCGTGCTACACGACCAGGAACGTAAATAGCAAACAAGAGACATTCCCAGTAGAAGGGCTGTGGGCAAACACTAGGTACCAGTTCCGATATGCTGCAGTGACCAAACTAGGGCTCAGTGTGAGCAGTGAGGAGAGTGACGCTGTGAAGACACTCCCAACCAGCCCCCCTGGGAAACCTGCAGCAGCTACTGTGGGATCAAGTGCCATCGCCCTGAGCTGGGAGGCACCCGCTGTCATTGGAGAGGGAGTCACTATCAAGGAGTACAGGGTGCAGTATAGGGACGAAGTTGGAGGTGAAAACCCTGTGGAGAAAGACGAATGGTTGGAGCAGCGAACAGGACAGAAAGCCGAGCTGTGTAAGACCGATGGGCTGAAGCCACAGATGCTCTACAGGGTCCGAGTCTCAGCCGTGTGCGCGGATGGGGCTCTGAGCGCCCCCAGCGAGGACTTGTGCATTTCTACATTACCGGTAAGAGAACAAATGAAATCTGCATGACCTCCCCCTCCACGTGCCACCTGGGTAGCAGGTGTCTGAGCTTTGATGTGTCGTCTTCCCTGTGTTCGGTAATGCTCCCTAGTGCTCCAGAGCCCGGGAGTGTGATGCACAGGTGCCTACATATACAGACCAGCTCTTTATCATAGATCATAGAAAATTAGGGTTGGAAGGGACTAGAGATCAGCCCAGGATGAGAAACAGGCCCCTGCAGTCACTGCATGGCTCAGGGGGCCTACATGTGGACCGGGGGATTCTTTCTTTTCAGACATGTCCCAAATGTGCATGGACTCATCAGCCATATTAGCATCTCTTGTGCCACGAGGTGTGGCCTTCCTGCAGCTCCTATTGAGTCCTTGTGTGTCTTCTGGGAACAGTTCACACTTTTGCCTGGTTGCACACTGACACAGTGCACTTACATTTGTTCTTCCTGTATTGGAATGACTCTTTCTAGCTTGGTGAACCTAGTTTCTTGTGTGCAGGTTGGTGATGAGGGGAAACCACTGAGTATAATAAAGTTGATCTTTGTGATGCTTCCTGGGGAGTGGGTTGGACTAGCCCTGGGAGCAATGCAATTGCTGGTTGTGAAGACCCATGGTCATTGCATGTTGTGCTACCCAGTGATGATTGTGAGGCCAGCACCAGCACAGGTAGGAGGGACACTTTGCTAGATTTGCCACAAAGTCTGCTCCATCATTGCCCGACACATCTGCCAGGTGGGGCCAGAACTGGAGCTGGGAAGAGGCAGTAAAGAAAGCTAGCCATCACAACCGGGCCATTTACCGTGGCACAAACTGCTGCATTTAAGAAAAAAAATTAAACATTTCCAAACCACTGGCACTAGGGAGCGTTTCCAGTGATGTGTGGCTATACCCCAGGGAACAATACTCTCCCTGGCTACGTATTTTATCAATAGTTTTATACATCTCAGCAATAACACAGTGTCAGTGTCTCTCATTTTTCTGTTGGGTGAAATCTGGGTGTCTAGAAGTGCTCTAAGCTTGCTGGTGCCTCTCCCTTCCATTCCCAGGATGCAAAACCAGAGATTTTCAGTATAGTTGGAAAGACCTGAATCAACTATTGTTTATCAGTATGCAGTATTTTGAATTAACCACTGGTGATAGTAGTCTATGGATCTTATCCCTCTCTATTATAATGACACCCATGTGGAATAGTGACCGCCAGGGAGGTCAGCAGTCAGGAGACCGTGGTTAGGAATAGGTTCGGTGACTGCATTTATTAACTCTTGGTGTGTTTCAGGTTTGGGCAAACCTCCCTGTTACCTCCATGGCTGATGTTGAGAAAGAAGCCATTGAGATGCCGACTCTGGGGCGTCCGTTCCAGCTGGGGATGCTGTACGACTGCCGCACTGACACCCCCCTGCCAGGTAGACCTCAAAACACTGAGTGCGTTTCGTTCTCCTGGTTTCCAGCTGTGGGGAGGGAGAAGGTGTTTTTAAGGGGTGAAATACTGTTGCACAATGTATGGCTTTCAGTACCAAGATTTCTAAACTGTTCTGTTTTAAGAAATGATTAGGAGGAATTAATCTTTCTATTGAGACCACATCAAGGAAGCAGTCATTCATTTGACCACCTAATGGGTTGCCCGCACTAGCATAAAATGCTTGTGTTAAAATGTGTTAGTTGACATGTTTGACCCAACACCTGCTGAAACCCAGGTGTAGAAAAGAGGGCTTGGACTGTATCACATAACTTCATATGAGAAGAGTCCAGCCCCATCCACTTTCTAATCCCTCTTTAAGGGAGTTGAAGGCTGCTATTCAATCTCCCCTCAGTCGCCTCTTCTCCAGACTAAATAAGCCCAGTTCCCTCAGCCTCTCCTCACCAGTCATGAGTAGGGCCCTGAGAAAATCAAGGATTTCTTCTAGAAAATTTGTGGCGCACACACAGGTAAAGTATCATTTTTCACGGAATATTCACAGAACTACAATTGCCTGGTAATTCTGTGAATATTCCCTGAAAAATGAGACTTTACCCATGCATGTGCTGCACGCACACACACACTGTGCCCCACCCCCAACTCTCCCCAGGTCCTGGCCCTGCAAACCCCTTTCCCCCCACCCCTGCCACATACACTTACCTTCATCTGGCTGCTGGTGCTGCATGCACGATCCTGCCTGGCTGTGTCCTGGCCATGCCCCCAGCAGCCCTTGCAGGCTGGAACTGCTGCAAAAGCCCAGGTTTCCCCTTGCAGGCTGGACTGTGGCAGATGCCTAGGAATGCTGCCAGCCTGCAATGGGAAACTTGCACTTTCTTCCTTTTTTTGACATCAGCTTGGGACCCTTAAATTGTAGTATGGGGCTAATTTCATGGTATCCGTGCAGTCCACGAAATTGCAGTTTTCTCAGGGCCCTAGTCATGAGCTTCAGCCCCCAAACCATATTCACTGGCTTCTGCAGGACTCTCTCCAATTTAGCCAGATCCTTTCTGTAGTGGGGGCCCAAAACTGGACACAGGACTCCAGATGTGGCCTGCCCAGTGCTGAAAAGGAGGGAAGAATCACTGCCCTCGATCTGCTGGCAGCGCTCCTTCTGAGGTTGTGCTGTTAGCCTTGTTGACAATGAGGGCGCACTGTTGGCTTCTATTCAGCTTACTGTCCTCTGTAACCCCTTTTCTGCAGAGCTGCTGCCCAGCCAGTCAATCCCCAGCCTGTGCCGCTTTATGGGATTGTTCCCTTGTAAGTGCAGGACTTTGCACTTGTCCTTGTTAAACCTTATGAGATTTCTCCTGGTCCGGTCCTTCAGTTTGTCGAGGTCACTCTGGATCCTAGCCCTACCCTCCAGCATCTACTTCACGTTAAATCCCTAACGCTTCCCCGACTTCAGGTTCAGACCCCAGAAGCAGGGGGAAATCATGTGCCTCTGCCAACCTGAGGGCTCTTCCAGTCCCTCTGGGGCCTGAGGGTGGTGGCAGTAGTGCTCTTCTTTATTCCCTCCAGGGTACAGCTTGGCTGGGACCTCTCCTTTCCAGTGTGACTGGCTCTGTGCTTTGCTTACTCAGCCTCCCATCCCACTTGGCCTTAAATATTTGAAAGGCTGCTGGGAAGAGCAGGGAGAACAATTGCCCCCCCTTGTTGCAGAGGGCAAAAGGAAAATGATGGTTGAACATTGCAGCAATGCAGCTTTACATAAGATCTCCGGAGACATGCCAGTACTGTCAGAGCAGGGAGCCTGCCCAGAGGAGCGGTGGGATCTCCTCATGGCAAGTTTTCAAGAAGCAGCTGGTTAAACACTGGTCAGGGATGATTGATGATTTAAGAGCAGCATCCTGCATTTGTGCAGCCCATTGGTCCAGGTGACCCTCAGGGTCCATTACACCCAGATGATCTCTTCCTTAATTTGGAGTGAGACAGACTGGCCTCCAAGGTGCCGCATTTCTGATCATGTGCATAAATCTCGGCTCAGGTTCTCAGGGAAAGGGATGATTCTAGGCACCAGAGCAGTTTTTGGCCCTTGGGGTAGTGTCAGTCTGGATTGCTTTCTGTACTGTGGGGGAATTATTTGGATCCGGCCCTTAGTCTCCTTTTTAACTGAAAACTGAGAACAAAATCAGAGAATAGGGATGCAGGAGACTTCAAGAGTCTCCAGTCCAGCTCTGGTGCACTGTTATGCCAAGAAAACTTTCTCTGAACTCTTCTAAAAACCATCCAGTGAGTGATGTCGCACAGCATGTTTAGCAAGTGTTTTTTGAGTGACTCACTATAGCTGGAAAGATGCTGGAGAAAAACATGGCATTTCAAGGGAAGATGTAAAGCTAGCCACCATCCCAAAATGAGGCAGCCCAACCCAAGTCCTACACCTGCTGAGCCGGGAGAAACACTTCTTATTCCCTCGATTAGACACTAACACTTATGGGTTTGGACTTTTGCAGATGTTACATTACTGGACCCCGAGGCCCTTCACAAGGACGTGGATATTGGGGAGCAGTGTGAGACAGAATGGCAGGTCCTTGTGTCTGACACCATTGAAGACAAAGCCTCCATGCTCCGTATGGGCCCGGCATTGCAGACCAGCTTCCTGTGCGGTTTGGTTGAGGTGAAAGGATCTGCCGCATATCTAAATGACACCACGAGGTCCCCGCGCCAGGCCCGAGTCACTCTCCGACACCAAACAAGCACGAGGCTGGAGCGCCTGACTATGAGCCATTTAGGGCTCCAGCAGGTCCCTTACCCGGCTGTAGTGGACCAAGGCAAAGCGACCCACATTGCAGCAGGACAAGATGGAGAAGTCGCAGTGGATGGCAGAGAGAAAGAAGAGGCTCAGCATATCCGTTGCACTTACTACGGTGACTTTGCTCTCAAGGACAATCCAGCGACTTACCAAGATGCCACGAGAGTGTGTGCCACCCTCCCAAAGCTGGTGGGGGACGGTGGGGAGAAGGCCGTCCCGCTGAGCGTCTGGCTGTACCCGCTGAGCAGGGCCGATGCTCGAGGCGCTGCGGTGGTCCGTGAGATCAGTGCAAGGCTCACGGCTAAGGCCCAGGCTGTCCTGGAGCAGCTGAACGACTGCGACAGGCGGTGCAGGGACATGATGAGGGACAGCACGGCCCTGCGCTTCCCTGCAATCCAGGGGAAACTGCAGCAGTGCCAGGCGCTGTGCACTCGGTACAGACAGGCCTTCCACAAACAGCTGGCCGCAATCGTCCCTGCCATCCGTGCAGGAGGAGCAGAGGAAGGGGGTCTGGAGGAGGTTTTAATGAGCATTGAACAATCACCAGTCAGTCCTCAGCACCTCCGGGACTTTCTGGATCTAAGAATGAGAGAAATGAAACTTGTGAACATGTACCTCCCTTTGCTAGATGGGGTGGAGGTGATTTCTTCAGAGGAGGATCTAAGGGACATCGTATTCAACCCCATGATTACATATGTTGTCTCCTTTACTTTTACTTCTTTACATCAAGAGGAGCCATTTCTATCAGGTTTACATGCCTGGCTTCACACCGTGGATGAGAAGAAAACCTGGGATCCAGCCTCAGCCTCTCCTGCCTGTGAGAAATCAAACTGCAGGCCGTGGTTTGAGCACGACATTGCAAAGCGCAGAGCACGGGTCTCTGCACGTTTCTTCTCAGACTTTGCACGTGTTAATAAATGTAGCGGGAAGACTCGGTTCCTTGTGACCTCAGTCTCAGACGAGGACAACCCAGGAGCTTCCATTTACCTGTATGAGGATGGGGAGCTGGTCAGCACCAACTTTGAGCCTCCAGGAAAGCCTCTTCCTCCCCTGATTGCTGGAATCAGCCATGACCGTGTGCAGCTCACATTGAAGCCAGCAACCCGGGGAGAGGCTGCAATAACCGGCTATCGGGTGGAGTACAAAAGAGTGGGGCAGGAGGACTGGACAGCTGTGAGTGTGTATAGCAAACAAGAGACATTTCCAGTATCACAGCTGTGTGCAAACACTGAGTACCAGTTCCAGTATGCTGCCATCAGCAAACCGGGGCTCAGCGTGAGCAGTGTTGTGAGTGATGCTGTCAGGATGCTCCCAACCAGCCCACCTGGGAGGCCTGTAGCAGTTTATGTGGATTCATCTGCCATTTCCCTGAGCTGGGAGGCACCAGGTTTCGTTGCAGAGGGAGTCAGTATAAAGGAGTACAGGGTGGAGTATAGGGAGGAAGCTGGAGGAGAAAGTCCTGAGCAGAAAGACAAATGGCTGGAGCGAAGGACGGGAAGGAAAGCAGAGTGCTGTGACATCGATGGGCTGAGCCCAGGGACGCCCTACAGACTCCGAGTGTCGGCTGTGTGTGCAGGTGGGACCATGAGCAACGTCAGTGAAGAGGCCACCATCTCCACTGCAAAGGCAGGAGCAATAACTTCATCTACGTAGGGTCACGGGAAAGTGTTGCTGGGCGGGACCTCATGCACAGTTCTGTGGTGATGGGTGTGACAGCTGAAATTATGTCTGAGTGATAATGGTGCTTGCTTCAGGCTCTATGAAGATTAGACCAAGTGTTTTTTTTTGTATTTGTTTAGATATTAAGCTATATGCTGTTGCTAAAAGCCTAATTAAAGTTTAAGATGTAGTGAGGCCTTGTATAAAGTAAGGCCTAGTAAATTTAGCAAAGCCTTGTAGTAAGGCCCCGTGGCACAGTTAAAATGACCTTATCAAAGGAATGCAAGGCTTGTACTGCTATTGGTCAGTCTAAGGACAGTTGAAGTAAAAGGAATGTGAGTGGTTGTTTGTTATCAGAACTGTTCAGAAGCTGTAAATTAGCTGGAATATCTGGAAACCATTCAGAAGGAAGATACAGTTCTGTGAAAAGGATTAGTTAGCTGCCGCCTGGATCACTGGGCCCGTGGACCTCGAGGAGCCCAAGGACTGAATACCAGGGTCCTTCCCAGTACCCCTCAGACAGCGCTGTTTGGGGACGCCTGACTTCGCTGAACTTTGTGGAAAGAGAAGCTTGCTGTGTATCAGGCATCAGAGGGGACTGCCGATAAGTTGCCGACGTGAATTGCTGTTGTCTGTCATTGTTTGTCTTGTTACTACGTGTCGTTGTGTTTTTGTTAAGTTAATAAACCTTTCTTCCCTTTCTACCCCCGACCATGCCCTCAATCCCGAACCCTCCGCAGGCAGCTGGGACAATGGGGAATGGACCTGCCATGGGAATCCTTCTCCCAGGCAGGGGGAAGCAGGGAGACATACAACACGGGCTTGCTGCTCGCTCACTAGGACAGCTGGGTTTAACAGAGAGAATCCACTAAAGACTTCCAGCAAATATATAAAGTGGCTCAGGACACCGGTATGAAGTCGAGTCATTCTCCAGACAAGGTTTTACTCCTGCAATCCCATTGCTTCCTGGTGCAGTTGCAAACCCTTTGTGTGGAAAAAAATGTTACTATGAACCTTGGGTGTAAGCCAAGGTGTTTCAGCGGCTGGTGGCTTCAGTGCCATCCCGGTGATGGGAGGCTTTGCCTGGACCTGCGTGGCACTGTAGCTCAGTGGCAAGGAAAGGTCATGGTGGTGGCAGTCCTGTTGGCAGAGCTTCCAGCCATCTGGACCCCTATGCAACTTCTCACTACATGGCTCTGGTGCAGATGTAGGCAAAGGCCACTCCCAAAGCCTCCCAAGCTTCATGGTCTGGACCCAGGTGTTCTGGGGGCTGCAGCTGGTCTGGAGGCTGTACATTGCCAACCCCCAAACTCGAGCCTTCACAGCTGGAGAAGTGTGGTTTTGCTCAGAGAAGGACTAAAGGGACTTTGTTTCCAGTGCAGCAGAGGCTGCTGAGACCCTTGGAAGCCTTTCTACATGTGGGGCAGGGGTTATAGGGTTGGGAGAGGGCAGGTAGCTGTCATGGAGCCAGGCACCAGAATGAGAGGCAGCTCGGGACCCCAGGGGATCAACTACACTAAGGTTAAGGGCATTCAATCTAGTCCTATAGGAACAAGGGGTGGGTGCAGAGGCTGCTTTAGGGACTAGAGGGCCATCGTGATGGGTGTTGGTGGAAACAGGGGAAGCATGGACATGGAGCAGGGAAGCATGGGAGCAGGAATAAGTACACCAAGCCTGGCAGGAGTGGGGAGCTGGGAGTGATCCCCAGGAGTGACTGGGGTGGAAGGGCCTAGACTGGCCTAGAGAGCAGGGTGGGAGCCTTCAGGGAGGACTGAGAGGAAGACGGAGGGTTTAAGGGCTGGGTGAGCACCTTCATAGCACAACAGCAGTACAAACACACCAAATGCTTGGTTGTTCAGACTGCATGTGGCAGCCCCAGGAAGATCTAGACATCCTAGCAAAGCAATGGACGGCCAGCCTGGGTGCTGAGAAGTGAGCCCCTGCCCCAAGGGCAACACATGATTCCAAGGCCCTGAGCAGGTCTTAGCCCAGGCTGGTGGACGGGGTGTAGTGGAGAGGGCAGGAGACGCGGACAGAGCTGAGCCCAGGTCTGTGGATCCCATTCCTGATTGCTGCACCTTGGCTGTCATCACTCTGCAATAATCACATTCTTTTGAGCTACTGTTTCAGCCCAAGATGAATCCATAGAGACAAAAGGATGATGGAAAAGCTAAAGGAACAATGAGATGTTTCCTCATTAATGTCTATTAATCCATGCCCCAGGGCAGGCACCAGTGTCTTGAAGGTGCAGACGGCCTTTGTGTGGGGCATGTGAGAGGCCTGGGAGGAGACCAGCAGCACAGGGTGATAGGGCCAGAGAAAAAGCAAAGTGGCCAATGGGACAGGGAGCAGTGGGACTGGGAGCAGAAAGCAGAACAGCTGATGGGGCAGGGGAAGGGGATGGGAGTGGCAATCAGGGAGGGTGCTGGACTAATTTGGGCCATGCTGTGGGAGCTGCAGGTGCTTGGCTGCTCTGAAAATCCAGCCCAGGTTTTGCTCCTCCAGGGACTTGGTGGCCAGGAGGGAGCTTGTTCTTCACCTTGCCGAGAGCTTTCTCTGCTGTTCCAAACTCACTGGGTTGACTCTTGTGGTGCCCCCCTGAGACGGGCTTTGCTCTGCACTGGAAGAGGCTGAGCCTGGAGCTAAAGGGATGGAGCATTGCAGAGGCAACACCAAGCCATTGAAAGGGATCCCAGAAGAAGAGGGATAGCTGGTGGGAGCTTGCATGACTGGAGCACTGTCACAGATGGGTACAAACTGTTCAGGAAGGACAGGCTGGGGAGAAGAGGAGAAGGAGTTGGGCTTCATGTAAAAGAGCCATATGATTGCTCAGAGCTCCAGTATGAAACTGGAGAGAGGCCTGTTGAGAGTGTCTGGGTTCAGGTCAGAGGGGAAAGCAATAAGGGTGATGTCGTACTGGGGGTCTGCTATAGACCACCAGACCAGGAGGAAGTGGTGGATGAGAGTTTCTTCAAACAGCTAGTGGAAGTTTCCTGGTCACGAGCCCTGGTTCTCATGGGGACTTCAGTCCCCCTGACATCTGCTGGGAGGGCAATGCAGCACTGCACAGGTAATCCAGGAAGGTTTTGAAGAGTACTGGGGACAACATCCTGGCGCAAGTGCTGCAGTGGCCAAGTAGAGGCCATGCTCTTCCTGACCTGCTGCTCACAAATGGGGAAGAATTGGCAGGGAATGTAATCATGGTTGGCATCTTGGGCAGCAGTTACCATGAGATAATCGAGTTCAGGATCCTGAGGAAAGGAAGGATGGAGAGCAACAGAGTGAGGACTCTGGACTCAGAAAAGCAGACTTCGACTCACTCAGGGAACTCATGGGCAGGATCTCCTGGGAAGCCAAACTGATGGGGAGAGGAATCCAGGAGAGGTGAGTGTGTTTTAAAGAAACCCTATTGTGTGCACAGAAACAAACCATCCCAATGTGCAGAAAGACTAGCAAATGTGACAGAGGATGAGGAAAAGGCTGAAGTGCTCAATGCCTTTTTTACCTCAGTCTTCACAGGCAAGGTCAGCTCCCAGACTGCTGCACCTGGCAGCACAGGCACACTGGTGAAAGGACAGGTTAGCGACTACTTGGAAAAGCTGGACATGTTCAGGTCTATGGGGCCAGATGGGATGCAGCCGAGGGTACTGAGGGAGTTGGCTGATGTGATTGCAGAGACACCGACCATGATCTTTGAATACTCCTGGTGATCAGGAGAGGTCCTGGATGATTGGAAAAGGACAAACATAGTGCCCATGTTTAAGAAAAGGAAAAGGAGGATCCAAGGAACTATGGACCAGTCAGCCTCACCTCAGTCCCTGGAAAAATCATGGAGCAGATCCTCGAGGAATCCATTTGTAAGCACTTGGAGGAGAAGAAGGTGATCAGGAACAGTCAGCGTGGATTCACCAGGGGCAAGTCATGCCTGACTGACCTTACTGCCTTCTCCTTCTGTATTCTTTCTCCTCCGACGACTCTTCATCCTTGGGCATTGTTAATTGGTCTTCCTGTGGTTGTCATACTGTCCACATTCTGTTTTGTCAGCCAAAATCCTGTCTTCATAAACCTATCACATGCACAGACCTTGATTTGGTCATTTTATTTGAAACTAGAAATCCCAAGGTTTTTTACAAGTGCCAACTGTAGCCCTGGACATAGTGTAGGCCTATTTCTATTATGACAATAAAGTGTGGATGTTTTCAGTTTCCCAGGATGCGTATATCTCTGGCCTTAGACACCCTTGAAGGCTGTGAAACTGTGAAACAACCAGGCTTTTAGAAATTGATTAACCTTTGCCATTCTCCTAAACCATTGTTGTAATACAACATCTATTTTACCTATGAGCCAATTCCTAAAAGCAAACCTCTACATATAATTTTCTAGCCATCAATCAGTGACCTGGAAAATGACATCGGGTATACCCTCAGGAAGTGTGCAGATGACACCAAGCTGTGGGGAGTAGTAGATATACTGGAAGATAAGGCTAGGGCAGTGATTTTTCCCCTCTGTTCAGCACTGGGGAGGCCACATCTGGAGTCCTGTGTCCAGCTGTGGGCCGCCCCCCACTGCAGAAAGGATGTGGACAAATTGGAAAGAGTCCAGTGGAGGGCAACACAAATTGGTTGAGGCACTGGGGCACATGACTGGTGAGGAAAAGCTGAAGGAACTGGGCTTATTTAGTCTAGGGAAGAGATGACTGAGAGGGGATTTAATTACATCCTTCAACTCCCTGCAGGGGGGTTGCACAGAGGATGGAGCTGGGCTGGTCTCAGTGGGGGCAGAGGACAGGACAAGGAGCAATGGGCTCCAGTTGCAGCAAGGGGAGTTTCAGTTAGTTATTCTGAAGAATTTTCTCACTAGGAGGGTGCTGAAGCACTGGGACAGATTACCCAGAGAGGTGGTGGAGTCTCTGTCCTTGGAGGTGTTTAAGACCAGTTAAACATCATCCCATCTTGGCTGGGATGATGTAGTTGGGGCTAGTCCTGCTTTGGGCAGGCGGTTGGACTAGCCATGACCTCCTGAGGTCTCTTCCAACCCCCATTTATTATGTTTCTATGATTCTACAGCAATTGCCTCATTTGTCAAACAGCACAGCCATTATAGCACAAGTACAAGAACAATATTTAAAACACATGATTTTGGACTTTGACTCCGACCAGACTTTCTCCCTGGACAAGGATAAAAGTGTCAAGATCTTAATGGCAATTCTGAGATGGAATAATCCTCCAGTGAAGGTATACTATGTGAACAGCAAGGGAACCTTTGTGCATAACATACATGTGCAGCACTGCCCTAGTGTTTGCTGGTAGCAGAAATGGGGTTAGATCTAATCAAGCTTGCTGTTCAAAAAACATTGGGTGGGGACTCTGAGTGCTTTGGCTCTATCACTGCCAATAGTACAAAAAGGGGCTGGGTCTGACTGATTCAGAAATAATTGATTAATGAAGTAGTAGGAGTAAAAAAAATTGGGGTATTCTTGTTTTGTTGAGG